ATGCCGACAGAAGAGAGTATGATCTGAGTGGGCTTGAGAAAAACCATGGCTCACTACCACCTTTGTGATATTGTCGAACCGGACTCTTGGAGATTGCTTCAGTTCGTAGAGGGACTTTTGCAAGTGGGGTGAAAGCCTGGAGAGAGGCACATGCACACCTTTGTGAGAATCCCATTTCGAAAATCATTCTTGACATCAAGCTGGAGTAAGGGGCAGTCCAAATGTATTGTACGGATAATAGGACTTGAATGATGTTTAATTTAACAAGCAGGGCAAATGTCTCCTCATAATCAACTCTGTATGTTTGTGAGTTACCTTTTGACGACCAACCGTGCCTTGTTGTATTCAAAGGATCCATCAAAGTTAAACTTGATGCTAAAATTCTAGCGACACCCCACTGTTTTCTTACCCGAAGGTAGATCCACAATATTCCATGTATGATTCCGCTGAAGGGCATTCATCTCATCCATTCCAAGAGGGGTTTGCTAATGCTACCTCAATAGTGGGTGGATTACGATTCGTCAGGGAAGTAGCAAATACTTTGTAGGTCGGCGATATCCCGTGAAAAGAGATATATATATATATATATATATATATATATACATGTATACATGTATACATGTATACATGTATACATGTATATATATATATATATATATATTGTCATGGAATATAGAGAGCTTGCCTGATCACATACCTCAATAGGAGAACTCACCTTATTTGGAGTATGGTTAGTGTTGGGGATGTCGCGGGAGTGGATTCCAGATCTTGTAAAGAGGTAGCGAGCTCCAGAGTAGGAACATCAGGTCGAGTACGCCTTGTATAAACACGGAAAGTGGGAGGAGTTTCTGGTTGTTTGGTGGGTGGCGGATCTTGAGGGACAGAGGACTCATTAGATATAGTGGTTGGAGAAATATAGTGGGATAAAAAACAGCGTCCAAGAAATCTAACTTCCCCTCACATGAAGTAGTGATAGGAAAGTAAGAGATACTTTCAAAGGAGACGTCGACACTTAGAGTTTATTTGTGATAGGATCAAGACACCGATAGCCTTTTTGAGTGGCAAAGTGTCCAAGGAAAACACATTTTATTGATCTTAGATATTGTGTACTACTATCAGGAGCAGTGTTTCGAACAAAGATTGAAAATTTTGGGATCAAGGGTAGTTAAATATCGATTGGTAGGGAAACATGACATTAATATGGCTAATGGAGTTATGAAATTATGAATTTTTGTAGGGACTATTGATGAGGTGAGTGGCACTAAGCATGATATTGTCCAAAACTTTTTCAGGACATAATGAAACGAGCCACTTCGAGAAGGCATCAATTTTTTCTATCGGCTAACACATTTTGTTGAGTGTTTGTACATGAGCTACGATGGAAGATGCCCTTATAAAAAATTCACTCAATATAGAGTTAAAAAATTCACGACCATTATTAATTCCAAGGACTTGAATTGACGTTTTGAATTGTGTCAAGATGGAGTGGAAGTTTTTGAAAGTAACAACTTCAAATTTATCTTTTAAGATATAGACTTATGTCATTCGAGTGCGGTCATCAATCAAGGTGAGAAATCACTGTTTATTAGTGTAGTTAGGAGTGGGAGAGGGTTCTCATAAGTCATCGTGTATGAATGAAGAAAAGGAGCGGAAGGCATGCAAGAGTTGGTTGGATATGAAACACGATGTTACTTAGTTAATTGACAAATCACACATTTAATGCTAGCAAAATTTTTATTGGTAAACATCGACGAATCCAATTGTTTTAATTATTGAAAATTTGGATAATCCAAATGACAATATAACAATATAATAAGATTCAGTTGATTTAGAAAATTTGCAACTACCGGAAGTCATGTCATTGTTCTCCATGCCTTTCTCTTGGAAGAAGTATAGACCGGCTGCTATCTTAGTAGTTCCAATCATCCTTTCTGAGCAACAAACCTGGATGATACAAATATCAGAAGAAATATGAGCAACACAATCAATGTCATGTATCAATGTACTGATGGATAAAATATTACACTTCAACAAAGGTCCATGTAACACAAATTCTACAATGAGACCGACTGTTAAAACAACCAACCCATGACCAACAATGAGATTATAGGAGTCATCAACAATTTTAACTGTATCTTTCCTAGAGCATGGATAATATATCGAGAAAGTTTGAGAGCATCTAGTTACGTGGTCGGTGAAACCTGAATCAATGATCTTTTTGGACTAGAAGAGAAGGAGGTTAGCGCCATATGAATGATATCTTGACAGATATGGGAGGTAGATGGGCAGGAAGAGAGTTATCTAGATCCAAGTAGCTTGATTAATTATTTCATCTGACTCTTAAGAGAGGGGTGATTCTAGAGTGTTTCGAGTAGGAGTTGGTTGTGCTGTAACGATTCATGTGTCGTAGTGATACACTTGACAGAGGATGATTTTGCTGCAGGTTTGTATGCCGGTTTACCGTTGAATTTCCAACACTTATTACGAGTATAGTTGGGTTTATCAAAATAGTGACAAGTGGAGCTAGTGGCTCGAGATGGCATGGTTGAGTGTTGAGTACTATTAGTGATCAAGGTAGATGATTCGACTGATGTGGAAGTGCCTAGCATGACAAGTCTTTGACTCTCTTCACGTCAAATCTCTGTGAATGCAACATGAGTGAAAGGAAATCTCGACCAAAGATACGACCCTGAACTTCATCAAGATCTTTGTGAAGGCCTGTCAAAAATTTGAACACGATTTTTTTCTACAATTTTTTGAAGGAGGGAAAGATCTGCCGGAGATTCTCACATACAATCATTGTAGATATCACATTCCATACATAAGGCTAACAAACCATTCTAGTATTGAGTCACAGTCCTCGATACCTATTTCGCCTCACAGTTTTTTTTGGAAACCTCATAAAGTTGGCTGGAATTCCCTACATTTTAGTAGACATCTTGAACTGCAGTCCATAGGGTGCTGGCAGAAGGAAGATACATATACGAACGACCAATCACAGTGTCCATGGAATTAATCAGTCACAACATGACAATGGAATTCTCCACTTCCCATGCTTCAAACGTCGATTCAGTTTTAGGAGGTTCATGAATCATTCTCGTGTGATAGCTGAATTTCTTACGTCCCTTAATGAAGAAAGATATGGCTTGGACCATTGGAGAAATATAGATCCGTTCAGCTTATGGGTGGTAATTAGAAAGGTCATGTGGTTTTCCTCTCCTCCGGTCTGTGGAGGAATTGAGATCATTGTCGAACCTCCGGTGGACTTAAGTATACCGTTGGGAGAAGGCTAAATGGTGGAAGAGTTCACCATGATTCCAACTGAGCCAAAGTGATGTTGGGTTGCCAAGACATAAGCAAGTTTTGAATGTTGGACAGAGGCAGTCCCGACGACGGGAAATAACCTTGAAAACAGTAGTTGGGAAATAGAAAGGTCGGTTGAGGCCGGTGGTAGGGATCTTTGATGGCTGGAAACAACTGCCAACAAGCCAAGCAGCAATCTGCAGGGGTAACGTTTGAGATCTGGCTGCTGGAGACTTGCCAAGAGGCTAGCCAGTGATAGAGAAAAAAAGAACGCTAAATGTAATGGCAGGAAAGAGCCCATGGACACCGGTGCCTAGGACATAAAACCTGCAAGGAAGGACCTACAGGTGGGCGGTGGCTCGAGTAGAGGCTATAGGGTTTCGAACCATGGCTCTGATATCACGTTAACTTGAGAATAGAGTTGCATACTTTCATTAATATGGAAATGGGCATAAACACATTTTACAAAACTAAAATAAAATGAAAGACATAAATTTAGAAATAGACCAACTAGGAAATACATAAATATAGAAACGGAAAAAAGGAAGCAATTAAAAGCCAATAATGAATGCATCAGTAATTAGCCTAATAATTAGGCTAATAACTCTAATAGATGACATGTTTAGAAACAAAATATGTTTGTGAGCAAGAGATGTCATAAATAGTTCTATTCTAATACAATATATAAAGTAGTCAGAATTGAAGAAATTTGTATTTATTGAATTATTATTTTTGTGATAAGCATATATGTGCCTACATATAGAAAAGAAGAGGGAACAAAAAGTAATAGAAAATATCATCAATAATTAGTTAATACCGTGATAATAAATATCAAGATTTTTGCACATGTTTTAATGTATATATGATAATAATCACAATGATAAGTTTAACTTTAAATGTTGAAACATGTAGGTTAAATTAACATGATTGGACAACTCTTAAGTAAATATATGTATATTATATTACATATAAATATGCTTCATTAGTTTGACTTGCTATATTTTTGTTTAGTTCTAATAAAAAAATTGGCCTATTAGCTGGTGTCATTCTATCACTCAAGATTTGTGATGAAAAATATCTTTTAAATCACTATGATCTGCTGCAGCTTTCATCATAAAAGTATATTACTATTTTGATTTCATTTTTCATTTTTAGTAGACCGATCATATTATATATTAAAGCTTAACATCATTTGCTGCAGCTAAATATAGCTAGTATAAACAAAATGCAATTTGTGTTAGCCATGTGCTACTTTATTTTTCTGTAGGTTTATTTTATTCAATTTATTGATTTAAATTTTTGCTTCGAATGTCAGATTCTTATATAAGATTTATTTTGTAGATAGATTTGAAAAAATAAACCATTCTCATGCGATTGATGGAGACAAGAGCCAATCTTCTAATGCAAAAATCTTTTCTAGCGTTGATTATGGGGATACTGGAAGCAGTTATATTCAAAATGAAAGTACTCATAGAGGATTGTTAGCGCTTGATGGCTGCTCTACTAGTGAGGCAGCTCAACTCCTAAATGAACGTAAGTGTACAGTTGTAGCATTAATCTCCTCGACAGCTATTTTTTTGTTCTTCAGTGACAACATCCGCTCCTTTTAGAATGTTTACAAGATAGTTACTTCCCAAAGAGGAGCTTCTAATATCCAGGAAAAAAAATAAGGAAAAGAAAATTTGAAAGGGATCTTGATAAGTATGGCTAGCTGCAGATGGTATTGTTGATTATTGGAGAAACATAACTGTTGGAAGATTGAAGGCTGTTTTATCTTCAATATCTTTGCTTTTTATTTAGAATAGATGCATTATGTAAAATTTAATATTTTTTATAAATTTGCATCCATGGCATGCATTTTAAGGTACATTTTTTTCCCAAAAATAGAAATAATAATTAATGCCATTGTGATACTTCTCAAGTTTTGAAGTTTCAAAAGGTTTGCCATTTCCTTAGGACTCTTAATGAACTCTGTTTGTTAGATGGTTTTTGGGGTTGACTGATCCACCACATGATTTGTTCTTAGCAAGTTTATATCTGCGCTCCTTATCATTTAATTTTATTGCCTACTTTTATGCTGTTTGTAAAGTACTATTATTTAGCTCATTTAGCTTCTATGAAAATGCAAATGTTTTTATTCTCGTTGCGTTTCTGTTCCTCAATGGAATTCTAGTGTCAGTTGTCTGCTGTCATCAATCAATAATTGAAATTAGGCGTCTCTAGAAAGTTTGTATTACGTATGCTTCGATGCCTCCCTTGGCTATTGTGAATCTCAGTTACCGTTTCTTTTACCTTCTTCTTTAAATTGTGTGAATGTATAAGATAAATTTTAATGATTTTATTATATTCAAAGTATTATGATGTAGCCTTGGCGACATCTACTTTTTTTTTTTGGTAAAGGTAAATTAATCTTGCTCCTCATTTCTTGCTCCTCATTTTTCAGCACCTATTATGGATTAAATATCATTTTTGCTTTTTCTTAAACTGTACCGATATTTTTGTGAGTATTTTATTTCAAATTTATTATTTTGCTGGAATCAATTTCTGACACTGGTTTCCAAGATTTGCGTTCATAATGCAACTTTTGATGGAAGAGGTAACAAAATACTCAATACCAAAATATTCAAATAGATGGTTTCTATTACTTTTATTTTTCAGCTTCTCAAATTTGTGGCCAAAGTTTTGACTACAATAGGCTCGAAATAAAGCACAGTACTATTTATGCTCAAGCAGATTATTCAACCCTAATTATATTGAGACAAGGGGTCTTGTGAAGATAAACACACAAGTAGGTCAATGCGCTACTATGCACTAATTATACTATTTTTTTAATTGTAGGTTGGGCGGCTGCAATTCACAGCTACAATGATCAATCTATTGATCTGTCTGGTGAGGCTGTTAGTTTTAAAATCTTGATGCTTGTTTAACTGTGTTCTTTCGAGCCTCCTTAAGTGAAATTGACCATCCTTCTTTTCCATTGATACATAGCTGTTCATTTATCTGAATAGTTGCTAATTATAGAATTGATTAGTTTACTGTGTTAGCATACCTTTTTTTTTTTTTGAGTATTTACTCTTTGAAGCTGTAGATTGTCGTGATTTTGACAATGCTATGTATTTATTTGAATGGCTTCATATTATTTAGATGGCTTTTTGTTTAAGTTGCACTATTCTGAAGGAAGTAAATGCTGCTATCAAGTATAGCTATAGCCATTAGTTTAAGCAGTTTTGAATCGGATTCAGAATAGAATTTAGATGGAAATTGATTCTAGTTGAGCTGACACAATTCAAAATCATTCAATTTTTGTCCTTTTGAGATTGATTTAGAGTTTGCTTGTGTACAACACACACATTTGATGCCAGGCTTCAATAACAGCTCCTCACGCTTTTGCTTTTGGTTTGGAGTTTTGCTGTTGTTTTTGTGATATGGGATGCTATCTTTCTCCAATAATTGTGGTTTCCTTGTTGCAATCATCTTGCAGTTCTCTGTTCTACTTCCTGCAGCTTGACATTTGCGTTGAACCAAGTTATCTTGTATCTCTTACATTGCTCACCTTTTGCTTTTTTGCTTCTATTTCGCTCCTTTTTGTAAGTAGTGACACCATTCTAAAGTTCCTAGAAGGTGTTTTAGGGTCACATTTAATGCAGAGAGGTTGTAGAAAGGCAAGATAAAGGGATATGCGAAGTAGGCGGGGATTTTAGGGTAATTGAAGGAGTTTGGTGGCTGTCCGGACTAAAAATAGCAGGGAGAACGACGAAACGACAATCTCGTAGAGTTATGACTTTAGAGGGAGGATCCACCACCTTTTCTCTTCAAGTTACAAATTCATCACATGAAAAAAAAAGAGAGGCTAAACTCTTCAAATTGAAGGAATCAGACAAACAAAGTCTCCAATTAACATAACCAAAGCAAAATCCCCAAAGCAAGTACTAAGAAACATACTTATACTAAGGTATCAATTAAAACATAATTCTAATTCAAAAATAAAAAAAATAAAGCCCACACGGCCCTTAACAACGAAGTAGCGGAAAATTTCTTGCTATAGTTGGACACGGGGTAGGAATCTCATCCTGTCCATCCCAGGACACGATTCTACGTCTGTTTGGACGCTCTAGTATCGAGTAGACTTCCATTCTCTTCTTTGATTGACCTAGGGACTCTCTCGGGACATCCTTTAGTGAGTTCTATATTTTTGCTTAGCTGGGATTTTGGCAACTCTTGCAACATATTCTTTATTGATTTTCCCTTCTTTTCAAGATTTTTAGATTGGGCATTCTATTGGATCTCATACATTACTATTGCTTTTGAATCAAGTTAGAGCCAGGCAATCAAATTTTTTCTACTTTTGAAAGTCAATTCTGTGATGAACTGGAATATTTGAATATTTATTGGAGAGATTTTCTCTTTATTGATGTGATGCTTAATTTTGCTAATTTTGTGAACTTTTTTTCTCTTACTTCTTTTTTCGAAATATTGTCGTTAATTGAATGACTTATTGATTTTATTTAAGTTTAATATAATTTATATTTCTACGAGTCGGTAAATTTAAAGTAATAGCTTGCTTTTAATTGTTGTAGATCTCTAAGCATTGTTTGAAGGAGAAAAAATATGAATGTCATATGAATTGATTTTTTTTAGAATTTTCAGTTTTCATGAAAAGAAACAATATTAAAAATTAGAGTTTGTAACTGGCTAAATTTTGTACGCATTTTGTGATTTTGTGCATATCATATTATAACCTCTAGTCCCTAGGCATCCTCATCAGTATTTTATACTTTATTTTAATATTTTTATATTATTATATTTATATATACATTTTGAGCTATATTATAAGGAAACATTAGTACATTTGAGTGTGGCAGGTTAAATCCAAACACGGGGTTTTAACTAGATTTTAAGCGGGGGCTTGAATTCAAAATTAGCTCAAGTTATTTTGTAGTCAAACCAAAATTCAAGCAATTTTTAAGCTTCAATTATTTTTAACTTTTCTTAAAGGTCTTTTACTGTAGGAATTTATTTCTTTAGATGCTCTGGCTTGAGCATTTATTTTTCCTTTTTCTGTTAATCAGAAAATGTGCTAGTGTTACTGCAAAATTTGTGATGTTTTTTATAGTTATTAGCATGTTAGTGAAGAAAAGTTTTTTTTTTTGTATTTTTTTCATTATTAGGTGTCAGGGACTACATATTATGGAAAATATAAGTTATTTATCATTTTTGCCCTTAGATGGCCAGCCTATTGTCGAGTTTGGCAAATGTACGTCTTGGCAGCTGTAGATAATATTAAGGATCCAAATGGATGCAGATTCTATATTATTGAAAATTAATTTGCACGTGGTTTTTCTTAGTTGTTCATTTATTCATATGTGTTTCTATTGATGTGGGACAAACGTGAATTATATGTCATCTTCAATAATTCTTATGCATATCCATTGATGCGGAACAAAGATGAAAGTATAGTATTTTAGCCTTAGTATCATTATATTTATTACTAGTTTATTCTTAATCTGTATTTAGTTATCATTACCAATCATGTTATTTGTTATTGTAAGATTAATTTAATTATTTAGTCTTATCTTGTTGGATCTTTATAATAAAGGTTAAACCTTTCATTTAATGAGCCCTTTTTATCTTTCTTTGGAGACTATCTTTTCCCACTTTCTGTGTGATCCATTTCAGCCTTTATGCTTGCTTTTCGCGCTTTTTGTGAGACTCTCTCAAATGTTTCTCACTTATTCTGACTTTCGGCTTCTGTCATGCATCTACATCTCTCACCATGTGTGCTCATTATGCTTGGTTTGCTCGTAGCCCGTATTATTTTCCTTTGATGTTTTTTGCCTTCACAATCTCTAGAACATTGATTCAACCTATTTGATTCCAATCATTGAACATGCCTCTTTTTTATCGTTTTCAACCGAGTTGATTTTCTCTTTTTTATCTTAATCACAAATCTCTTCCTGTTCTTTGTTAGCCCAATTACAAAATCTTTGTACACATCCTCGACTCTAAGTTCGTCTGACTGTTCTGTTGATTCTTCTTTGAGCCTTTCTCTATATTATCTGTTTTACGTAAAATTGGTTTCAGTTTCGTAAACCCTAATCTCAAGTGTTATGAATTCATTTGTATGCTATCATGAAATCAGTATAACCAAGAAAATTGATATTTGTAATATTAGGGGTGTCAAATCGGATTCACGGGTCGAGTTTGTGTCTAACCCAAATATTAAACGGATTAGAAAATCAAACCCTAAGCTAGCCAACCTTCAACCCTCTGAATCAAACCCGACCTATTTAACTTATTTAATAGAAGCCTTAGCAACCATTTGAGTCAAAATAAGGTCAAATTCTGGCCGATTTTGAGTCAATTTTTGGTTGACGAGTCGATTTTGAGTCAATTTTAGGTTAGCGGGTTAATTTCAGGTCACCTGACTTGAAAAATTAAACGAATTAGGATTCCTAACTCGAACCCGACCCAAACTCAAATTTTTAAAGTCGGGTTTAGGTCGAGTTGGCGTGTAGAGTCAATTTTTGACACCTTTGTAAAATGCATACTTATTATTAAGAGGTATACCATAAATACATAACTTCACCTTTAGAGTAAACAAAATTTTCTTTATTTGCTTCGAATTAATGCTTTTATTATATTGAAATGATTTTTTAAAAGCTCAGTATCTGAGCTGGGAAGATTATTTTGGTTATGATTTAGAATGGTTGTTGATTGGACAAAATATTGCCAAAAAATCATTCATTTATTTTTTTTGAGCTTATGATGGTTATGTAAATTATGGTCCAAGATCTCATCAAATTATATAATTCTTCATTATTTCAAATCAACCTATCGTGCTTTATATGAAATTTATGTGAGCATAATGAATGAAATATGGTTAATTAATGAGTAGCTTAAATGAAAAATTCCATGCCTTCATTTACTCACATTTGTTCCTTACTTTTTATTAACTCTAATAATCCATTATTTTTTCCTCCTTTTTTTTACTTGAACATTATGTATGATGATGTGGTTTAACTTTGACATGATTGTTAACACATTGATTTTGTATATGACGATTAGTTTAAGTTAGGGTTGAATAAGAGTTTTTGTCCAGAGATTGTTATTGCATCAAAGTTTGAAGAGGCTCCAGTTAATATTTTTTCCTACCTTAAATAACACATTGAATAACAACCTCTATACTCACTTTGTAATCTTTGAATTCTTTCTTCTCCCTTTTTTGCGAATCAATTCCATCCTCTCTATCTTATACAATTATATTAGATATAGGTCGAGATGAATTAGCTCTCAATGTGGATATGCCTCCTTATTTTGACTTGCTATCTCTTATAATCCATTTTTGAATACTCATATTCTTAAAATTATAGTAACATAAATGAATTAAAGATGAATCACATTCTCGTTAAGGTTCAATAAGTCAATATCAAATTTTATAGCCATCCAAGTATGATCGTATGAAAGATTCAATCATTACAATTTTATACCCAATATTCGGACCAAAATCATGCCAAATTAAAACATAGAACTCAGCCTAAATAATATCATAGTAATACCTTAATAATATTAGAACAATACATCAATTTGTGAAATAACTTCATACTAACACCAAAATAACACCAGTCACACCGAAATCATTCCGAAGTAATACATAGAAGACCACTAAAATAATACCGTAATAATACCATAATAATATCATAATAATATCACAATAATACCTGAACAATATCTGATATTATGAATAAATACCAATTTAACACGACAAAACACCACCGAAATAATACAGTAATAATTTATAAATAATACTAGAACAATACTTGAGTAATACCATAATAACGCTTAAATATCACCTCAATAACGCTAAAATAAAATCTCCCTGCCTAAACCGT